CATAGTTGCTTAATGTGCTGTTGGTCCTCGTAGTGCTGCCAAAATAGCTCCAGCCCGCCGAAGCAAGGACACTACAAGACCTCTGACAGTGCACTGTGGTATTTGGCACCAAGACATTGGTTGTGAGATTGAGCCACTGTAGATTGGACTTGCTGTTCTAGCAGATCCCACTAATACTTGATCAGATTGAGATCTCAGGAATTTGGAGGCCAAGGCAACACCTCAAACTTTTTGTCATGTTCCTCAAACCATTCCTGCACAGCGTGTGCAGTGTGGTGGGGTGCACTGCCATCGGAGATACCATTTTCATGAAGGGGTCCACAGCAATATTTAGGTTGGTGGCACAGAAAATGCCCAGACCTAGAATTTCCCAGCAGACCATTCCCCAGAACATTTCCTCCACTAGCATGTCTTCTTCCCACAGCATATCCTGGTGCCATTACTCCCCCAGGTAAACAGAGCACATGTACCTGGCTGTCCACGTGATGTAAAAGAAAACCAAGAATCCCTCTTCCATTGCTCCAAGGTCCGGTTTGGATGCCCGTGTGCGCGTTCTAGGCGTTTTCAGTGGATAGGGGTTAGCATGGGCACTCTGACCGGTCTGCGGCCACGCAGTCCCTGTGGAGCAGGGTGTGATGCGCTGTGTGTTGTGACTCATTTTTCGTTTAAACATCACTAAAAATTTCTGTGACCTTTGTAACTGTAGCCCTTCTGTCGGTTTGGACCAGATGTTTACCGTCTAATACAGGGGTCCAATAAGCTGTTCTGCCCCTTAACTCAAACATCTGATCCAGCCAGTCAGGGACTTGGAAAGAGGTTGATACGCTGGAGCAGGTGTGCCAAATTGTGGTTGGAACTAGACCAAGGTTGGAGACCACTAGTCTACTATATCCCAGACCTTGACGTGTGCCATTGTTACAGGAAAATCAATGAGCCTCGTTTACTAGGTGTTATTAAGAAGAAATTTCTTCTCAAAACCCACTTACTTTACTGACTTTTACCAGTGTTTTCTTATTTGGGATTTATTCCTAGGTAAGAACAGAATCTACACACACTCGAGCACAAATTAGAGAACAGTTCTGCCGTTTAGGAAGATTTTTGAAGTGGCAAAAATCTGATTTTTGCCCTAATGTGACACAGATCTGATGTTTTCAGGGCTGTGTGGACACAAATCTGATCTTTTCAAATCCGACCTGAACCACTTTCATATGTGGTCCTAGATCGGATACGTATCCGATTTGTGGCCATGCGACCTTAATGTGACGCTCAGATCGGAATTCATGTGCTTTTCTTCCACTGCGTGTGCGCCATCATTCAGCGTTACCATGGCAGCAGCGCCGAACTCGTTCTGCTCGTTAGTCTGTTTGCTGATGATGCACGTGATTGACATGACGTTACTGAGTAGGACGTGATCATGAGGGTCATTTCAGGACGCTGGTTCATCACATTAATGACAAATTTGAGTCACTTACCTAAACGAGTGTGAACCATCGAGTCAGAGAGATCGGATTGAGCAATGAGGCTTGTAATGTGAACGTAGCCATAATGTTTTAGCTTATCGGTGTGTATGAAAATTAAACCAGCTTTACCGCTCATGAGACTTTAGTCCCTTTTCATATTTCGGTACATTATGTTCTGCGTGTGTTTCAAAACGTTTGATTTATTGCTAGGAAAACGGTGGAATCTTATGTAGAAACCGGAACAGTTTGCTGCTGTAGAATCTGTCGATATGGAAATTGAGGGAAATGCCTTATGATTGTGGTATCCTCAGGAAAACGCTGCAGATCGTTCTGCCAGTAAAAAAAAAAAAAAATACTTCCTAAAATTGACATTGATTGGCTGAATAAAAGACTGAACTGCTGCTGTTTGAGGGAGGTTCTTCAGAATTCAGCAGCCCCCATTTCCTAAAATGAAAACTCCTCAAATCTACACAGTGTATATGAGATATTTATCATTCGAAACAGCAGATGTGGAAAGGCGACGAGTTTGCATACATGCAGTTTGAATGTAATCCTGCTCTTAATCACCTTATACCTACAATCTGATTAGTCATTCTTAACTGTAATAGAAACCCCTACGTTTTTTATGTCCTGATTACGTAACGACTTTACGTGTATTGCTTTATCTGTTTACGCCACTCTGAATAAGAGCAATGCTAACTTAAAATGGCGAGCAGATTCAGCAGTTCTGTGATTTGTGATGAATCTCTATTGTTCATGTCTCTCTCTTGTAAATGTAGGCCAGGCTGCTGTGTGTGTTTGTGTGTACACACTTGTGCCTCTGTGTGTATGTGTGTAATTATTGATTGGGCTCTGTAGGCTGAGACTAGCCAATTCATGGCACCAGTGAGCTGAGACCGATGGGGCCTCTTGAGTTACAAAACCACCACCCCCCCCCGAACACTCCTCCACCACCCCCCGTCGTAATGCCCCTCTTATTCACCCTCCTTAACCACACAACCTCCTCTCCTACAGTGGAGCTGCTCTTCCAGAGGTGGCACAGTGGGGGGGGGTTCATCATTCTAGAAACAGGACTATCAGAATATTCTAACTCATCTCACTCATCTCTGCGGCACTTTGGCCTGGAAGGTCCCCAGTTTGACATGCCTGGTTCAAGAGGTTTACCCTGTCAGTTCTTACAGTCTAAGACAAGTGTGAGACAATCGTGAAGTTAAGAAAATATTTAAGAACTATTTTTTTCCCCCAAGAATACCACCTGTTCTGACAGTTCTTCTAATAATTTATTTTAGTGTTTTTTCTCAAGTATGTAGTTTAGTTTGGGTGGGGGGGTGGTTGGTATGGGCTTAGTTGGTTTGGGGGATTTGGGATGGCTTATTCGGTTAATTCTTGGGAATAACCAACAAAATCTGTGCATGTATCTTGTCTCAGCTTTGTAAGCCTTTTCCTTCTTTCATACTCAATAAACAGAATGGTCAAAAAACAAAAAGTATGTAGTTTAGAAAAAAAGGCACATTTACGAAGATTTTCTTTCTTTAGATACTTTTGTGAATTCAGTACCTCTTCCTTTCACATTAGCCAGCTAGCAGAAACAAAGAAAAGAAAAATCTCATCATCATCATCAGGTATACACCATAAAGTGCTTGTAGATTTTGAAATGTTCTTCCTAACTTCAAGATACATCATCGGAAGGGGGTATTTAAAGTCTTTAAACTAGAAAATGATGCTCTCCAGACTGTCGTGCCACCACTGGAGGATGAGTAGGCATGTTTTCAACACATATACTGATGGGTACTTTTTTTATTTTAGCTAGGGTCCAGGGTCGGCAGCAGGATTAAATTATTAGGTAAAAATAAAATCATCCTTTACAGTAAAATAGAGCTCTGCTGATCATTCAACACAGTTTTAACAATAAATGGTCTTAAACGCTGGAGTTAATGTAGAACTGCTAATTCACCCTTTAACCCTGAAGGTTGGCATGTGGACTGCTGGTCACCATAGCAACACAGACTTGCCTAGCTAGTAGCTAACCAAACGGAAAAGAGAGAGATTTAAGATGAACATTGATCATTTGGAGACAAATGGACTAATTTGCGTTTATAATCACTCCAGCTGGTTTCCTGATACGTTTAATCTGCAACGAGAAACTGACAAACACTAAAATGTCATGAAGTCAGTTTCTCATTCTCCAGCTTCTTGTTTAAATTGTCCAGTTCTACCTTAAATGGTGCAGCAGTTGCATTCTGGCACCTCAGGCCCCATTTAAGGTGGAACAGGAAAATTCAAACAAGAAGCTGGTGAATGAGAAGCGACTTCAGCCTCGTAAAAAGTCGAATGTTGAGAGACATTTTACAAGAAATTATTCTACTTTTGAGGAAAAGTTTCCTGCTGGAGATGTGAGAAAAGCAGCTATAGCTGAGCTGAAGCTTAAAACACAGCAAAGTAATGTTGCAATTTCATTTATATTTTTAGCCTATACTAGCACATCAGCACATACTGAGACGTATTTACAGCCAAGATGGTGAATTTTAGACATAAAATGTGGCTCCCAAGGTGGTTAGATTTTTGTTGAAAGGACAAAATGGCTCTTCTTTACATTTGGCTTGTGACCCCTGGGCTAGTGACTCATCTCAAATAGACTTTATTGTGCTTTGTGACACTACATAGTTTACCATTATCTATGATCTAAAATGAACAGTAAGTACATCAGCAAGCCTAAAAGGCAATTATTGATAAGCGCAAAGATCTCCGTCTCCTCATGATAACCGCAAGATCTGTTATGTCTTTATTAGACTGTCATTGTCTCACGTATTCTATTCATTCCTCCTGACCTCATTTCAGACAAGCCAACACAACTGAAGCAATGGTTTGGTGAAAAATGTATGTAATTTCTCTTTTACCCCACATGTGGTGGATCAACCAGGTATTTAGTATGGCTAAAACTGTAGTAGCAGTGGGAGGCCTGAATTTGAATGTTAATACATAATAATAAGTCATCTATAGGTTACAGTGAATCTAAACTTCCAGCAAAGAGCACCTTTAGCTTCGAGCTTTGCAGTGGGGACAGCCTGATTAACCTTTGCCAACCCTGGCTGGACGAACGCTTCTATTTCGACATCACTTTAAGCATCCTAAACTAGGATTAAGCGTCGTTTCTGAGGCTTTTGTTCATGGCTCATAAATGAGCTGTCATTGTGCAACATTAGGCCTTACAGGGAGAAGTCATTTACCGCTTCATGCTCACATTCTAATTGTTCAGTTAATGCAGTCCATCATCAGCACAGGCTCATTCACATGAACATGCGGCATCCTGACTGCGACGCGCTGTAGTGCTGAATGCAATCTAATCTCAGCATGCGATCTCCTATAAACACACAGCTGTTTATTTTTAAATAAGCAAACACGCCCGTTTTGTCTCTTTGTGTTCTCAGCTTGGTTGTGTTTATTTGTTTAAGCTCTGTCGATTAAGATAGCGAGTTTAAAATACATCTCACTTCAGCTGCAAGCATGCCTGCACTCAGCTGCGCTGTGTGTGTTTTTCAGGTACACACACCTGGTGCCCACCCTGCAGATGATGCAGCTGTCTGCGGCTGCGGGGGTGAGTCGTCTTCTCCTCATCCTGGGCCTTCTGCAGCCCACCCTCAGAGGAGATGACGTCTCCGAAGAGGTCATTCAGCGGCAGGTAAAGTTAAACCTTATGATCCGTCTACGCTCCGTCCACAGATGTGTTCTGTTGTAGCTGATGTTGAAAGGTTAGAAAAGCTTTATAGCTTTTAGGCAAAAGTCCCGATTCATCATAATAGGAATGGAAAGGAGTGTTGCTTATTCCAAATTATATTTATTTTGCATGCGTGTGAAAAGTTACATTGATTGGATAGATCAGATGCAGTTTTCTCTCATATAATCAAGGTTTTTGAGGGTAAACAGTCGTATGCAAATGTTTGACCACCTCTGACAAGTTGTCAAAATGTACAAATGTAAAAAAAAGTAAAAATAAGGATATCCTGCACAGAGAACACACTAGAATATGGCCTTTTTCTGCACATTTTGGTGCATAATTGCTGTTTATTTGAAAAGTTTAACATATTGGGGAAAAAAATACCCTTTGAACAGGCCACCTTTTAATTTCCTATATCCTGTGTCGCTGTCGGAAGAAAACCTTGTTTCTCCAAAATGATAACTTTACAGGAAAAAGAAAAAACATACTTTACTTTTAATGCAAGTAATTTCTTTTGGTCTATTCCTAATAAAATTTACACACAATGTAAAGAGCAACAGCTCTGGAGGTTAGGGAACCAGCCCTGTGACCGGAAGGTCGCCCCTCGATCCCCTGAACTGATAGTACGTGACTAAAGGCACCTGACCTGCAGCTGCTCCACTGGGCTTCCCACCACTCTGGGCAAGTGTGCTCACTGCCCCCTAGTGTATGTGTTCACTAGTGTGTGTGGGTGTCGCACTCCTCTGTGTGCAGGCACAGTTGGCCAATGGTTCTGAACTGAACTGAACAAATGAAACACACGAGCATGTTAGCAGCACCTCTTATTAGGCAGAGTTGCAACAATAACACTATTTGCTCTTTATGGAGCAAAAAGGCTTTTAAAATTCATAACCAAAACATCGGCATAAGAGAGGCGAAAGTAAGAGACAACTGGCTGTTTAGTACAATGAGTTATGATGATGGTGTTTTTGTAGAGGTGTAGCAGCAGCATTCAGATACAGCGGGAGGGCACCTACCTGACTCAGACTATTTACGCCATAAAACTGCAACACAGATCGGACAAAATGAACCCAATAAATTGGCTGATTCTGATCTCGGACTGTTCTGTTCTCCAGAGACAGTATGTTGACTCTAGCTATATCAGTAAAGCTTCAAGTCTTTAAGTCCCCAACAGGGCTGGGCAGTAAGGCTACGTTCACATTACAAGCCTCGTTGCTCAAATCCGATCTCTCTGACTCGTTTCACACTCGTTTAGATAAGTGATTCAAATCTGTCATTAATGTGATGAACCGGTGTCCCTGAAATGACCCTCATGAGCTCATCCTACTCAGTAACGTCACGTGAATGAATCACGTTCATCATCAGCACAAACTAACGAGCAGAACGAGCTTCGCTGAGAAGATCATTAACTCTGATCAGCTCTCAGCTTCATTATTAGAGCGAGACGAAGGAGAAAAAGGTGAGATGAGCTGCTTTTCCATCGTTTACAGGCTTTAACTTCTGTTCGGCGTCACATTAAGGTTGCATGGCCACAAATCGGATACGTATCAGATCTAGGACCACATATGAAAGTGTCTCAGGTCAGATTTAAAAAGATCAGATTTGTGTCTACACAGCCCTGAAAACATCAGATCTGAGTCACATTAGGGCTAAAAATCGGATTTGTGCCACTTCAGCCTGGTAATGTGAACGTAGACTCAGACAATATAATCGGACATCAGTGATGATTGAATTACATTATTGAACTCCATGATGATGTTTCATAGGCGATACTTGCTGTTGTGCACTATACGCCAACTGGCCACTTTATTAAGTACGCCTACCTTGTATGCGCACCTGTATGGTAAGTGGAGCTGGGAAAGTGGACAATGAGTGTGGATACTAGTAGTTGTACTTAATGAATGGTGTGGTTTCACATTAGACTGGGGGATTAGATGGGATTTTTGGCAGCAGCCTGAAAAGCCAGTTCAGCAATAGTTTCTACAAAAGAACGCATTCGTAGATGAATAAGTAAATTGGAGTAGTGAGTTCTAAGAGAGCGGCTCTTGGCCTGAAAGAGCTGAGGTTTCAAACCTTTAAGGTTTTTAAGGTGACATTGATTACGTCAACTCCAGTGTGTATAGAGGTACCCCATTCAAAATCCACTGCAGTTGTGTGCAGAAGTTTGACAGTCAAATATGAAGTTTTGTTCTTTTTCTAAGTGAAAATAAGTGAACACTTTCTCTACAGTGAACACACTTAAATATGGTACTTTTCCAGCAAATTTCAGTGCACAGTTTACAACATTAACATGGGGGGAATCTTAAATCTTAAATTCAGCAAATAAACAATAATTGTGTGTTAAAATGTGCAGAAGTTTGTTCGTTTCACTTAGAAAATCAACATGTAATTTGACCGAGGGCGCCCACACTTTTGCATACGACTGCATATTATGGTTGAACACACTATTGACAAGCAATGAAAAACGAGGCAAATAGAGTTTGACATGAGTTTAAAGGGGATTAAATATCTCCAGACTAGACTCCTGTCATGTTTACTGCAAATGAAGTCGCCACTTTGTCCTTTTAAACACTGCACAGGTCAGTGTCCAGCAGCAGCCTCCTGGACTGGTACTGGTAGTTTGTCCAGCTCTATACACACATGGCAAAATCTTGTATATTGAAATTGAGCAAAAACAAAATCTGGCGGAGATTTGGATGACTGGCCACTTGGGTTCAGACTAAACCTCTAAGCCAGGGTTCCTCAGATTCGGTGATGTCCAGCACTATTTGGTGATTTCTATTCTCAAACACTTCCACCAAACCTGGCAATGAACAAGGTGTGTTTGAGCAGGAAAACTGTGCTGGACACCAGCTCTCTGGTTAATCCTCATGATGATCGGATTCAGTTACATTTCTTGAGGAGCACCATGAAATCTCAGATCCATTCAGTTGTTTCAGGACTACTTTTTAAAGTAGACGATATAGTAAGTATAGACAATAAAAGCAGTGCGCCAAGCTTTTTTATTTTGGCTGGAAAATCAGCACTCGCTTTATTGAACATTGTTATAATCGAATAGAAACTATTCGTGCATCACAGTCCAATCTAAACTCTCTAAAATGTTATCATTCCATCTCAAAAAGCTTCGACTGTTCCCTGTTTTTCTCTGACAAAGCAGCTCATCTGAGAAAATGTTTTGACAAACTTTGTCTTATAAACGAGCTGCTCTGACCTGCTTAGTTCTTCTTCACCTTCCCTCAAGTTTAAATGCTCACTTGACTGAAGACTGTCAGACTGTCCAGATTTGTGCGTTCAGTGATGCACCAGGAGATGCACCTGATTCATACTAGAGAGCAGGAGCTGTAATGCATTGTCTGTCCTTGCTGTTCACCAAAGCGTCCACATGGTGGTGCTGTAGTGTAAATTATCGTGAAAAGCAAGCGGGGGCGGTTGGTGCTGCGCTGAAACGATGTCTGGAGCACAGCGAGAGAAACAGTTTAAAGAAGAGCAGCCGTCAAACTAAGCTTAACAACTTTCTTCTGATGCGGCCGCGGCCGGATCCTATTTGGGTCCCTTTTTTTTCCCCCTTTTCCTCCAGACGTCTTCAGACAGGGTCTCGCAGGTCGAGATGCGAAACGCACTCGCCCGTGGTCAAGGTAGGCGGCTGTTCTCCGCTCTAGTTCCACCCAATTTCATGCAAGTTAACGTGTGGCCAGGAATATGCAAATCGCTTATTAGATTTTTTTGTGCAGCCTCCTCGAGCTCTGAAAAGGCTGCTGATTCCTATTTGCAACATGAATCGAAAGTTGACCCGAGTAATGGAGAGGAATGATTTAGGAGAAATGTTTTTTCCTCTTAAAGAGGTTAAAAATAATTAATGCAGGAGCAGCCGCACTACCAGTGACCGAAGGTTTTTATTTTATTTTTTTTTATTTATTTATTTTTTAAAAACATCCATCACGTTGGCTCTATCAGTCTAAACACACTCACACCAATTTGAAGGCCTCTGTCTCTTTTGTTTAGGAATGATAACGAGCTCACGGCAGAAGTAATGCTAATTAATGCTCTGACTCTTGTAAACAAAACAAATAAACAAGACAAAAAGTGCGGAAGAAGTTTTGCCACAGCGACGGCGGGGAAGACGGGGCTGAAGCCTGGGCCGGAGTTGAACCTGGTATGTGCTGCGAACTGTGTTGCAGTGAATCAATTTCATGTACATAGTCGGTACAGCCTGGATCTGTGTCGGCTCGGCATGTTGGACGTCAGAAATACGTCAAATCATATTGGAGAAGAATTAAAAACGCTCGGGCTGCCGGTGCCGAGACGTTGCTTACGGAGCGCTCGCGCTCGCCTTCTCTGCATGAGAAAGAAAAAGCAATCGAATAGCAGTTAATGGTTACATGGGCCTTTTGTGTACTGACGAGAGGCTGCTCGTGGCCCTTGAAATGCCTGTCGACTTTTTAATTTGACTGCACTGTCTCCCTGGATTGGGGCAATTGTTCTTCACAAGTGGGAGTGCGCCCTGCTTCAATTCACTCCACTGTGGACTCCTCTCTTTCAAAAGCCTCTGTGTAAAAGGTTGAGGGGAGCCGTAGCGCGACGTGTCAGTCTGAGCTATCTTTAATCCCGTCAGCGTGACAGGATCACTGAACATCAATATTAGGGTGGTTTGGATTTATTGATTACTCGATTTAGGAAAGAAATCAACTAAAATTGACGTTTTTGAAGAATAAGCACTTTGCATGATGATGCATATTTTAAATTGTCATACGACAGGAAGAAACAGCCTGACGTTTTTAGATTTTTTTAGTCTTTTTGTACGAAAATTGGTAGATTATATTATTGGTAATATATCGCTGTTGTTGGTACAAAACCTCGTATCTCCAAAATGACAATTTTACAGGAGAAGGAAAAAAACGACTTTACTTTTAATGTAAGTCAGTGGAACCAGAATTTTTTCCAAGTCATGTTGGGCCGTTTCTTTTGGTCCATCCTTCATGAAATTTACACACAATGTAAAGAGCAACAGGCATTTTCAAAATATGCCAAAAGCTGAAAAATGGCAAAAATGGAGATACAAGGTTTTCTTCCAACAACAGCGATAATTAATAGTGACAGCTAGATGTGCTGATATTTGATAACATGGTATATCATGATATTCAGCACACAGACAATGAAATACTGTCAGTGTATTGTTGGTAAACAAGTGACAGTTTCACCAGTGACGTTGTCCACTAGGACTGTTTAAAAGCAAAAATCCCATAAACGAATGAAGACTGAAGGAATGCTGTGTAGGGCTGGGCAGTATGACAGTATTTATCGTGGTTATCATGATAAATTACAGAACAATACGTCACAATACGCTTTTCTGAGTCATGGATATCATCAGCGCTTCCCAACTACATGTTTCATTACAAAAAGAGCATAATTAGTCCTGTTTGATTGGATTTAATGCAGCACAGTGTGAGTTTTTGATTTTGCACTACTTGGTCTGTTGCAGTTAATCAGACCTCAGAAAAAATAAATACTGTGAATATCGTTAAAACGCCATGAACTATTGTGATTACATCTTATTGCTAACCTCAAAGTACTATAATGGTATTTTTTCAGAACATAGAACCACCACCAGGATCTTACATACAGAACACTACATGTATGTTTGTCGTATATTATGCATGATTGTTTTTTCATAAACCATGATAGAAGGTTAGGTAGTTGTTGCAATATTGAACTTTTATATCAGCACATGATTATTGACAGCCCTATCAAATATGTCACTATGGATAGGGGTCTCTCTCTCTCGCTCCTTTTTTTTGGGTAGTCCCCCTTAGTTACATAGAACTGCTTAAAGTGTTAATAAATCATGTGGGAGCACTGCATTGGCACCAGGGTTAGGGTTAGGACTAGGACCAGGGATAATAAATGAATAAAGTTAATTGTCTATGAAACTGCAATAGATAATTAATGAAATGCAAGTTAAAGGTAAGGTGGGAATCGATACGTTTTCCAGTATTTTCAAATGTTTTTTTTTAGCTTAACTTTCATTAGATTTATTAAAATATCTTTGCTGATATTATTCATAACAGTGAGAATACTAGCTTATTATGAATTATGCAGCCTTTACCAAGAGAAGTGCATAAGTAGACGTACCACATTCATTATTGATCATTGGGAAAGAAAAGTCACCCGATACAAACAAGAAACAAGTCGCTGCTGTCAGAGCAAAACCATGTATCTCCAAAATGGTAATTTTACAGGAGAAGGAAAAAAACATGCTTTACTTCTAATGTAAGTCAATGGAACCAGAATTTTTACCACATAATTTTGGGTCATTTATTTTGGTCCATTCATCATGAAATTTACACACAATGTAAAGGGAAACAGGTATTTTCAAAATAAGATAAAAACTGAAAAAATGTCAAAACGTCTAAAATGGAGATACGAGGTTTTCTTCTGACAGCAGTGAAGTATTTCTGTCTGTGAAGTTAAAGCAGGCTGGTAGTATTTAGTCATCTGATGTTGTAATGATCATTTCTCATCCTATCAGAAATACCTGTTAAGTAACCCGGCTCACCAGAGCAGTGCGGTGGACGAACACTTCTTCCTCAACGAGAGTGCGTCTCAAGTGAGGTAAAACGTGCAGTTTTCATTGTACCAAATATTTCATGTTCTCTCTCGTCTTTGATTGGTTTCATATGGAATCCTTTCTCTTATTCAGAGAGATTTCCAAATTCAAGCCACTGTCGAGCAGCACATCAGTGAGTGTCATCGTTGGAGATTCTTTTGATGAACAGCTTCCTGCTCATCTCAACCAGGTGTGTGCCTTCAGCCTTTCCTCTCTCCCTCATAAACACTTCCTTTAGGTTTTAAAGACACTGTGCACCTTTGAAGAGTGCAGGTCTTTATTATCTGTTTTTTCTCTGTGTTAGGTTTTTGCTGAACTTCAGAGGAAGGCTTTAGAGCGGGTTTACCCACAGGCCCACCGCATTCACATTCGGGGGGCGGACCGTCGCATGATCTATAAAAAGCCGTCATCGGTAAGCAAACATTTACTGGAGCTGGTGTCAAAGAGACAGACCAAACAGCAGAGGCAGTGAGGCAGTGCTCAAACATGTCTGCCTTCCGAACAGCAGTAGGACGTTTCCTATTGGGAAAGAGTCACTCGCATTCACAGCTGTGCTGTATCATCACATTGTTTTTTTTTTTCATTGAAAAACTGGCTTTTTTTTGGGTGAGGTTTTACATTTTGGGTGTGTATTATAATGGTAACAGAATCTTTTTGTGGATAAAGACTTGTTATATGTACTATTGTCTTTTTCTATTTGTAACAGTATTTAGTAAAAGAAGACAAAACATCAGATTTATCCTGAGGATTGAAGTTTAATTATGACACCACATCAAAATAAAAATTTCCAACAGCTCTGGAATTTTATTCCATCCATATACATGCATAGCAACAACATTTTTTAAGAAATATTTTTTTTTCTTCCATAATAAGGACATTGGAATGATCATTTTTACAGTATCCCTCCCAAAATGCCCTCCCGCCCCGTTTATTAACATCAATAAACTCACTTTCGTACAACTGTTTTGTTTTTTTTTCCTCATGGGTTAGAAATATCTGCCATGTTCCCGTTGCCATAATACTGCTTTCAGTAATGTTCCCTTTTTTTGTTTTTTACAAAGTATTGCGTTGAGAGCAAATTTTAAAAAGGGAGACCGAAATGTATCGCAAACTGAAATACGAGTACTATACAAGAACGCTGCCATCCTCATTAAAACATCCACTTCTGAGTCGAAGAAAAGAGACAGAGACCAACAGCTACATACATATGCAAAGCCGTATGTATATGCCGAAACATGAGATGCAGAGTTGTGCCTGGTTTTCCCTCCATACAGTGTTTTAAGGCTGAGAAGTCATGAGTATCGCACTGCAAATGACATTTAGGCATATACAAAAATAAACTAAAAAAAAAACTAAACAAACAAAAAAAATTACAGCAAATAAGAATACACAAGTGCTTCAGTAGCTATTTTTGTGTCTAAAATGCATTTCAGATTTGTATTGTGTCTATTGTCTCGTTGAACCTACAATACAGTGTAAACAATGTTTGCTACACAAGAATGACTATACAATAACATTACAAACAACTCTGATATAAATTTCCTTTGCGTTTAAATTAAGATCACTACTCCTATTAATACTGATTGTAAAATAAATAAATGTGAAAGTGGCACCAATATTACACTTGGAATTTTTTTTTTCCTCAATGATTTTGCATTTAAGTCTTGATGAAAAATGACGAAACATGAAGCTTCTCTTGATTGTCCACAAGCAGCATATAAAACTGCATGATGCACTATTCCAGACACGACAGTGTAGCCAAAAAGAGAGGAGGAAGGGGAAAGGAGGGATGGAGGGGAAAGCATGATTTCATTTCACGTGCTCGGCAGCATGTGACGAGCAATAAAACTTCTTGTGAGTGATAAAGTTTGACAAGTTATTGAACTGGATGTCACAGAGGCGGCAGTACTTGCCGCTTCCGGCTGGCTGAGCCGACCCATTCATGCCTTTGGCCGCAACGGGTGGCGTCTCCTCGGTCGGTGATTTAGATGTGGGTGAAGCATTGTCATTGGATTCTGGGGGGTTTTCAGAGCCCCATGTGGGTGATGTTTGCCCTTCAGCTGGTGAGGCGTTGTTGGGCTGGTTCTCCTGCTGAGGGGGTACCGCTTGGTTCTCATCCAGTTTGTGCCCGCCATTGATGATTACCATTCCCCTGTTTTTGGGAAGCAGGGGCAGTGGTTCTTTCCCGGGGTTAGGGCAGCCGTTGGCCGCTGGTTGTTCTTTGCCCTCTTCACTTGCTCCATTAGTACCCTGTTCTTGCTCATTGGGTTCACCCTGCTTAACCGTGCCACCTGCCATGTAATCAGTAGGCTTTATCCCGAAATATGGCGATATTGGCTCTGCGCCTTTGACCTTTTTTATTGCTCCAGGATAAAGGCAGTGAGGCAAAAACATGCTCTTGTTCTCTTCTTTGGAGGGCAAGAGCTGGAGGTCGTTGAAAGCCTTCAGCTCTGGCACAGGCCCGAGGTGCGGAGGGAACAGACTGCCGTTTTGCACCATCAGCTTGGTGCCGCTATTTTTCTCACATTTCACAGAATTTTTGTCGTACACGTCATCGGGATTACTACCTTCGCTCTTTATGCCCGGGAACACAGTCTGGTCCAGGCTGGCAATCTCGTTGTGTTGAGCAGCTGTGACTGGGCAAAAGTTCTGTTTATGGGCTAAGTAATTCTCCACCTTGTTAAAACTTATCTTGCAGACGGTGCATTCGTGATAGTCTAAGAGTCTTTTGGGCGAGTTGCATGTCTTGTCTGATGAGCACTTTTTGCTGAGATCGATTGGTGCATCCAGCTCTTGTTGGTCAGTAATGGCATTGCTTTTGGGAGCTAGGATGGATTTCGAAACCGTAAGAGAAGCCTCAAGGTGTTTGGGGACCATACCTGGAAAGACATCACAGCGGGAATGGAAGCGGTCAGCCAGACTTTCAACAGTTTCTTGGGATGTACAGGGGTTTCCCAAAGTGGGAACACCTAGAAATCCAGGCTGTGGCCCCAGTTGTTGTCGCTGCTCCTGGTCTGGCAGACACATTTCGTACATCTTCCTACGTTTGCGTGTCCTCATGGTCCTCTGCATGGCGGGCACCTTGTTTGCAGACATGCGCTTCATGGGTGGGTCGTGGCGTGAAGCACAGTAATACTGCTTGTGGACCATGAAAGTTTCGTGGCGACTGAAGGTGATGTTGCAGGCCTCGCAGGTGGTTTTGTTTGGGTCATTTTCGGCCTCCCCCAAGGAAGTGTTGGGACTTTTGACCTCTGTCTGCTTACCGTTAAGCCTGTCTTCAACACCTGTTGGAGTGGTGACCTTTTTCACTTGTCCAGTGACATCTTTATCAGGCACTTTGCCACCAGCATTCATAATGTCCAAGACCGAGGAATTCAAGCAAGCTGATGGCATTATATGATTATCGGTCTCCGATGGGTGGCATCCAGTGAGCATCCCTACTGAGCTGTGACCGCTGTTTGGGCTCACCTTGTCTGAAACACTTGAGAAATCTGGAGACTTTGCCATGTGCTGCCAACGACTATTGCAGTAGTGCTTCTTGTGGACTAAGTAGTTGTCCAGGTTATTGAAAGTTATGTTGCACTCAAAACATGTTGCCCCCTTTGGCATTAGAGGACTATATATAACTGGTGGGTAGCTGTTCCCTCCATGGCGTAGTCTGCGATGCACAAGTTCTGACATTTTGGCTAAAATTTCAGATGCTTGTGGTACTACTGAAATGTCCTGGGAGAACGCGAACTGCGACAGAAATGGGCCCATGGGAAAGGTGGGTCCCATGTTGTGCTGAACTGGTGAGGAAGCCAGTCTGGGACTGGAAGGCTCCGACTTAATCCTGGTGTAGGAGAAGCTAGCTTTGCCACCTGGGTGGCCTTCTCCCTTCTGCATTCCAAGTGCAAGCTTTTTCTCGGTTCTCTCCAGTTCTCCATCGGGGGTACCGTCCTTGTTGGGCATGCTTTTGGGACTTTGCAAGACGACGTCCTTCCTGGCAGCCAGCTCCGCTCGGGCCTGTTGCAGACTCTCCTCCGCCCCCCGCGGGGAGTGCTCGCTGTCGCTCTCCCTGTGAAGCTTGCCGGAGTGGCCATGTAAGTCCTGATGCTGCAAGAGTTCCCTGTGGTTCTGGAAGCTGATATGGCAGTGATTGCATCTGAAGGCCGCCTGTGACAGGTGAGTGAGGATGTGGTGCTGGAATGTAATGAGAGAATCTGCCGTGTAGTTACAGATTGTGCATTTCAAGCTGGTGCCAGGGGGGAGAGTATCCTCCATTTTGACACCTGTGAGGAAGATAAAAGGGGCGTATATCAGGTCTTTTGTTTGCCTTTCCCCTAATGTTAAGTACAACATAACAAAAATCTTGGGTTACGCCAAGGCTACTCCACCTGACATTAGACTAAAAATACACAAAAAAGTCTCGGCTGAGCTGCTGAAATAAATAGGTTTCAGTTCTAAGATGGGAAGATAAGGACTCTTACAGCTTCAGTGGTTTACAACAAAATATAAAGAGCAAAAGCTTTATTAAATTATTTTGCTCACCACTGTGCGTGTTCAGGTGCATTTCCAGGGCACGAGGGCTACTGAAGCTCTTGTTGCACTGTGGGAAAGGGCAGATGCTGGGGGTTTGGTGGGGGTTTGCCTCATTTTCCTCAGGTACACTCTCGGGCTCCCTCTGTCGCCCGCTGCAGTAGTACATCAGATGGGCCTGCAGGTTCCTCTCACTTCTAAACCAGATCCCACATGCCTTGCAAGGGAATATGTCCTCTGGAAGAAAGATAGATGCAGACATGATGAGAAACAATACTTAACTATACTAAATTCTAAATCATTTTCATTGTACTGAAGGGATTTGGACATTTTGTTCAAAATAAAGGGTAAAAGAAGAAAATTGTTTAGTTAATGTAAATTATAAATAAGGGCAAGCAGACCAGGCATATTGCAAATAATCGATGAAAGCTTGTGGGGGTCACTTAGTATTATGTCTTATTTCTTTCACTGCTAAACCACTTAGCATTTTTGGGTTGGACATTCCTCCCAACAACAATTCTGTCATGTACTTTTGCTGAAGTTGCACAGCAGCTTGAGATGATTCCAGTAGGGTGGTGCCCTTACCTCAAGGGCAAACGAAAACAGAGCACCATCTGCTAGTAGTAGCCTCCCTGTCAAGCTGAACCTTAGATAGCCCTTATTAAATCAACAAACAAGTCTTTGCACATGGGTTGAATTTTGCAATTAACATGTTGGTCAGAGTGTTTGTTGTAAACTACGCTGAAGGTCGTTTATTCTTATCCATGCTACAGAGGTTAATCCATGAATACCTGACACATGCAGCACATTGCGCTTTGTAGGTGACTGTATGTAATGAGGGCTGAGTTGGCTCAAACAATTGGCCAAAATGCAGGCCAGCATGGCCAGGGGAACAGGTGAGTGTCCATATGCAACACCTTTGCCGCCAAGTTTGCTGTAGGAGCCACTGCTATGACTTTATTAGTGTACTGTGTGATTGAGTGCGTGTTAATTTGTGATTTGGATCACGTGTACAGCGTATATAGGTTGACAGTTATTTCACATGGTAAACTCTGTCTTGTGTTACTCACTGTTGACTATAGCGGTAGGGAGAATGGAGGCCATGGCAGCTTGCTGGGGTAGGAGCTGGATGGTGTCCAACAGGCGTGCTGGGTACATGCCCTCACTCAGGGACATATGGTTGACCGAGTGCAGCCGGGAGTCAAAGTCCACCACAAACGCCACCAGCTCTTCTCCTTCCATTATGGTCTTAGTGGTTGTGCACCATAGCTGACCACCTGATAG